TCGTATTAATCCAAAGTCATATTATGATGGAGTCGCAACATGAAGGAGAAACCCGTTCCTAACCTAGCATCAGGGAACTCTTCTTCCAAACCACCAAATCCAAAAACTGATTTTGGTCGTTGTAGTGAAGGAAACCGATAAGAAATTGTTGCAACAATAATGATCTTGTACCACCAAATCTCATCATGTCGAAAAGATACATCGAAAGAATTCGTGATATGATGTATTTGCAACACGATATGCGAATCTTCGAAGAATATTCGAAAATTTTCCATATTGTCATGACAAGCTATGCCATGCTGAAGTGCTCAAGCCACAACAAGAGCCTTCCTGATCCAAACACAACTTGAACCAAATAAGAAAATAGATCTCTATCAGAAGAGCCAATGTAGATGTGAGAATAGGAAAATTCCATACATCCAACAAATTCATCTATTTTCCATGAAGATGGGCATACTTGCTTATGGACGCTTGAACATAAATAGTTAAATAAACACCAATAGTTGTCGATCAAGTCAAATTATCGAAACATGTACGCTTCGACAACGGGGCAAAAATATGTCAATCACTAGATCGAAAAAGAATTCACACGATCAACCTCTGCACTTGGAAGGCACATAATTTCAAAATTTTCAAGATCGCAACTCAAAGAAAAATGTCGGGTATGAAAACCTACAAGAACTGAGCTCTATAGCGTAGTGTAAAAGAAAAAGGCCTGTCATGAAGTAAAGCTTGTAGAAGTGTATCACTGTAAAGGTGAAATCAACTACCAAATGACTCTCTGCCGACTCCCCGAGGCCGATCGTCAAAAGAAGCGTGTAAATCCTCTCAACGTGCAAGATAAGTATTTCTCAAGGTCTTCCAAAACTTTAAGTAAACATATATTTTACCTACCGAATATTGTACGCACATATAATATTGTACTCCTCTGCATTGTGGCGTAATTTGTCTTTATAAAATAAGATCCCGCTAGGGGGAACACACTTTAGCACATCTAACATACCTCTCTTTTAGGAACTAGCCACTATAAGAGCATAGGTCGTGAGCCTATGAGGCGTCCACCCTAAACCAGGATAAAAACCTAGGGCAGGGACGAGGATCCCACCCTTGGTCGGACGCATTTCCTAGTGATCCTGAAGACTTACACCAATTCCTTTCGAATGGGATGAATAACGACAAAGCTTAGTGGTTACACCAACTTCCTATGACCGAGACGAGTAATGACAAAACTTGACGATTGCACTAGTTCCTACCAAAAGGACGGGGAACAACGAGTTCCGAAGGTTTTTCCAGTTCCTGCCCAAGAAAGAACCCGGACATAAAATTGAAACATATCTAGTAATACCTGTCCTATTACTGTATACAGTCTGTTATACCAGCCATTTGTTAACATCTCAATAGCTGAATATAGGTGTTTGAGACTCAAATGAAATATTAACATTTGATTAAGAATACATGTTTAGTGCTTGTGTATTTCTTGACATAGGTAGCAATTATTGCTATAGGTAGAAGATAAGAAGAATCCCTTGCACAATTGCATAGTAACAAGCTCAAAGCTTTTCAATAAAAACTCAAAATTGATAATGTCCACACACATTAAATATACTATAAATCACAATATATTCCTTTGAAAACCCACATTAATTTATAGACTTGAATATTGGTTAACATTGAATCAGGTTAAACGAAGTAAATCTTACCAAAACTTAATCAAATATTAAACCTAAAAAACCCGGTCTGATGGAGAGGTTCGATTGACAATGATATGACATGGATCAATTACGGAAAGACATAAAACAAATAATAAAGAATAATAAAACCATCAAAATTAGATTGACATATAAGGAAGTATAAGTAACATGTCCGATAAAGAGGTTCAGTTGACACAAACCTACACCCACCATACAACTTTTAATATCATTCCAAATTTTTCCGTTAAAAACATATTGTTGCAACCAAAGGGAAAAAAATTGAAATTTATGGATAATTTTAGTGAAATCTCAACAACACCCATGAAAATAATACAAGCTTTCAACAAAACCAATATCACAAATAATTTAAAAAGAAAGTGAGAATGTCTTGAACATCCTGAGCGTTAACCTGAAGGTGATCAAGAATTAGAAACGAAATCGAAAAGAATTCAAATTGGCGCATGACTGGTGATCTGCTTCGAGGGAAACTTGGAAAGCTTCCAAGCGATGTATGTGAGTGTCCATTGTTGAGTTTCACCAATAAACCTAGAGTAAATTATGAATTGAAAAACGAATGTGTATGAATTTTTAGGTTTAGGAAAATTAGATATAAGATTTTCATTAAAAGAAGACAAATCTTTGATTTTGGTGAGTAGAATCACGCTTTCTGGTGATGTTTCTAATTTCATCGAGTTTTCCTTCATTGACTTTGTCCTTTTCGGCCTCGAGTGTTACATTCACTCTCCGCCCTCTTCGGCCTGGGGTGTTACAACATCTAATTTGATATAGTATAAAATGTATTTAGATACATGTCAATTTCAAATGAGTTACTTAATTATAAAGCAAACAATAATCATATAAATTATTAGAGGTGACAATTAAATCCATTAAGGCAAAATTCATCCAATCCATCCATCAAAAAATCCATCCAATCCATCCACCACACAAAAAACAAGTTAATGGATTGGATTAAATCCATCCATTTATATGCATGGATGGATTCAATCCATCCAACATATTTTAAGGATCCAATGAATTATTTTTATTTTCGTTAGATTTTTTTTTAAAAATAATTAAAAAACTATATTTTTTTTCTGAAATTTTTTTTTTAATTTTTTTGAAAAAAAATCTGTTTTTTTTTCAGAACAAAAAACTGATTTGTTTTTCGAAAAAAAAAACCGACTTTTTTTTTTGGAAAAAAAATCAGTTTTTTTTTCAGAATAAAAAACTGATTTGTTTTTCGAAAAAAAAATAAATTTTTTTCTCGAAAAAAAAGCCGACTTTTTTTTTTGGAAAAAATCGGTTTTTTTTTCAAAATAAAAAACTGATTTGTTTTTCGAAAAAAAAATAAAATTTTTTCTCGAAAAAAAAACCGACTTTTTTTTTTCTGAAAAAAATCGTTTTTTTTTTCAGAATAAAAAACTTATTTGTTTTTCGAAAAAAAAAACCGACTTTTTTTTTCTGAAAAATCGGTTTTTTTTTCAGAATAAAAAATGATTTGTTTTTCGAAAAAAAACCTATTTTTTTTTTGGAAAAAAAGTCGGTTTTTTTTTCAGAATAAAAAACTAATTTGTTTTTGAAAAAAAAATATTTATTTTTACGAAATTAAAAAAAAAGTTGGATGGATGGATATCCATCCATTAAAAATATGTTAATGGATGGATTGGATGAATTTTATTCTTAATGGATGGATCGGATTGGATAATTTTAATAAAATTTTAGTGAATTTTAATGGACTAATGGATTGTTTTAATCCATCCATTAGCAATCCAATCCATATCCATCCAATCCATCCATTTTGCCACCCCTATAAATTATGAATATTTTATATATATAATAAATATAAAATAATCGTGTTTTTATTTAGATAAATTTTATGTTTTAAAACATTTTTCTGTATTCATAATCATCAAATTAAAAAGAGGTTTAAATTTTATTATTTATACTTTAAAAAATAAAACAGTAAAAAGAAAATAGAGAGAGAAGAATTAAAATGAAAGTAAGAAAGTGTGAGAAAAAGAAATATGAGGAAAATTTCAAATTTGAATTAAGAGAAGAAAAAGAAGAGGGAGAAAGTTAAAAGTGAAAAATGAATGAGGTGGCAAAAGGAGGTAATTTCATTTTTTTTTATAGCATTTGTTAATTACAAATATACTTTTTTGCCAGTATAGTTTTTTTTAAAAAAGAAAAGAATATATTAGAAAGTTTAGTGTTATTTTAGGATAAATAACCAAGATATCTATGAGCCGTACGAGTAAATTTATTTGATACAATAATTTTAAAATAAAAAATAATTATATAAATTCAATTGTATTAAATTACAAAATAATAAAAAAAGGACATCTAAGAATTTTTTTTTTGTTGATATTTTAAAATGAAGATTTTGCCTTTCAAATTAAGGTAAATTGTTGATTAAGATAAAAAAGACATTGTGATGATAATGACCCGTGGATCAAAAAATTATTTGATACAATATGAAATGTATTTAGATAAACATGCAAATTTTAAAATAATTTATTTAATTGTAAAATAAACAATAATTATATAAATTTAATTGTATTAAATAATCATAAAAAAGAAATTTTTTTTTTGAGACGGTTAAAGAAAAAAAAAATGTGAATTTTGTCTTTTAAATTAAGGCAATAATTGATTACAATGAAATATATATTACATTAATTTAATAGCAATATGGGAGATAAAATAAATTATTAGTTTTATTAAAATTAAAAAAATAGATTATTAGTATTTGTAGTGATAATAAATAGATAAAGAGAAAAAAAAAAAAATAAGAAAGTGTGGAAAAAAATTGAAAGAAATTTGAAATTTTAGAAAAGAGTGAGAATTTGTAATATCTAACTGGAGAAAGTTTAAAAATGAATGTCACATGTTATGTTGTTATAAGAGATAAGAATGTAAAAGAACAACATTGCTTAATTACTTAAATGTCATTTTTTAAATATAAATAATTTGTAATAAATAAGCAATTTAAAAAATGCGTGCAATTGATTTTTAATAGATCGACAGTTACTAGTTGATAATGATAAAAAATAATAGTTAAAATTTAATAAATAAATGAAAAACTTGTAGGATTAATTATAGTAAAAGTGTTTAATCCAAAATAACAATGATTGTTTAACAATTTAAACTATCTTAAAAAAGTGAGATAGATGCACTGGATATCATAAGTGTGCGCTAGTTGTGCAGTTAAGAGCTGCCTCCCTCCCTCATGAAACACACACAACAACACTCACTGTCTTACCTCTGATTTCATCGATCTAACTTCCTCACTTCCTTCTTTCACTTTCATTCATGGCTTCCTCCTTACCTTCCACTTCACCTTCTGCCGCTACTGTTAAACCTGTAACTCTAGCTTCCACCACCAAGTCCCCACGCTTTTCTCACTCCTCCATCTCTTTCCCTCTTCTCTCTCCTAATTCCAACAACACCCTCCGCTTCTTCAACAAGGTAACTAACTCTTTTTCTCCTGCTTTACTTAACACTTGTTTTCTCTCTTTCCGTATCATATTTTATGCATCTGTCTTCCATTATTACTATTAACTCTTACTTTTTTTTTTTAATTGAAATCTTAATTATGTCACTACTTATGCAGGGATTATGCTCCAGGGTTAAGGCCCAGTTAAATCAGGTAAATTTTCTCTCTTTTACATTTCATTTTAAAGGATTGAAAAACACTAAATTGTAACCATTGATTGGAAAATTAACTGCTGAGATTCTGATAAAATTCATACACTTTACTGCATATTATGATTTATTTTTTTTCAAAATTTACTCTTTTGGTGCATTTTTACGCGCTCAAACAAATGTTTATAAGCTGATTTTCGTTTCATATTTTGGATTTGACAAGGTTTCCCTTGACGGTTCTTCCAATGATGTGCCTCCTGTTGAAGCTAATTCAGATGTGGAACCACCGACCGCATCTTCGATTGAACCATCTTCTTCAGTCCTGGCAGATGAAGAATCAATCAATCAGTTTTTTACTCAAGTTGCAAGTCTTGTTAAGTAAGTAACAATCAGTTTCAATCTTGCTTGTTAATCATTGTTGGTGTTAAACGGTAACAAATATATGAGCTTTTCTAACATTGTTGGAGTGGAGCAATGAGAATCTTTGTTTGTGTGTTTCCGCGGCAGGCTTGTTGATTCAAGAGACATTGTAGAGTTGAAGCTGAAGCAGCTAAACTGTGAAGTAACAATCAGGAAAAAAGAGGCTTTGCCTCAACCAGAATATGCTCCTCCGTCTTCAGTGGCGTATTCACCACAATTGCAAGCGGCACCCCCTGTTGCGCCGTCGAATACTCAGGCTCCTCCTCCTTCGCCGTCAACTTCTCTCGTTGCTGTCAAGTCATCTAAGTCATCACGTCCGCCTCTTAAAAGCCCCATGGCGGGGACATTCTACCGATGTCCTGCACCGGGTGAACCTCCATTTGTGAAGGTAGATCTTCCGTTTAATTATATATTACTATTCTTTGTATACTGCTTTTTGGCAGCTGTATATGAAAGTACTCTTTCTTTAGGTTGGAGACGAAGTAAAGAAGGGCCAAGTCTTGTGCATCATTGAGGCAATGAAATTGATGAATGAAGTAGAAGTAAGTTCAAAGATTTTATCTTCTTTTTCTAGTTACTGTTTATTAAAAATTTGAATTCTACATATTTTGACCCTATACGATTTTATCTTCTTTTTTTGGAGACCCTGTCTCTTTAGTGGGCATCTATTGCCCCATTTCATTCATCCATGAGCCAATCGAGTAGTTTTATAACTTATAAGTCTTGGCTGTTGTTAGTTACACCTGGTGTTATATTCTGAATTTCTTGGCCTGTGTTCCGGAAAAATGTAGCTTGGAAACTTGAGAACATTTTAGTTTAGAATTATCAGTGCTCTCTATGTCTCTCTGAATGACCCCCTTTCATCAGTTGTTATGAAGAAATTATTTGAAGTAGCTTTTCTGGTTAGTATATGCCTTAAACATAAGCTGCAAGTTGCTCCTGGATGCTATTTCCTTCCATACTACATCTCTCATTTTGTTTTGTTAGTATTTTAGGATTACGTGTTGCACTTACAAAATATTCTAGGATTTCAATTTACTAGATATTCTGAATTTCTTGGCCTATGTTCCGACAAATCTAGCTTGGAAACTTGAGAACATTTGAGTCTGGCATTATCAGTGCTCTCTCTGTCTCATAGTAGCTTTTCTTGTTGGTATGTACCTTAAACACAAGCTGCAAGTTGCTTTCTGCAGCTTTTGCCATCCATACTAGTAGCTGTTAAAACAGGCTACCCGTCCCTAAACGGGCCTCATACTATATTAATTTGGACCAAAAAACTGATTAAATATGGGCTCAAAATACACTACCTGAGTCCAGCCCTATACATGCTATGGCTACCCGGCTCTGTACAGGCCAACTCTTAAATTTTATTTCAAAAACTATAAAATTAAAACCCATAATATTTCTTATAAATACAATATATAAATATATTACTTTAAATACAATACGTTTTTAAGCACTATATTCTCTTTTAAAAAAATACTATAAAATGTTTGTAAGCACTTTATGTGTCTTAAATTGTCCAAAATGATATCTAACAAAATACATAACAGAGACTAATAGAATGCGGGGAAGCTGGGAAATGAAACATAAAACAATTAAATACTAATTTAAAGAAGAACCGAGTTGAAAATCATGTTTATTTGCAATGTACGATCGATAAAGGGTAGTGTCTAATCAATTATCTTCAAGAACATTAAATTAAGCCATTCAAAACCATTTTTTATAATTTGCTTCTTATTGTTAGATATGGATTATTACCATGTGTATGTATATGAGGACGCTCATTTTTCAGCTTAATAGTCTCATGGTATACAAATGTATAATATAAAATAGTAAGAACTAACCTCCACTTTTCTATCATGTAAATTGAATAAAATAGAAGAGATATAACTTGTGAGGGAGGTGTTCAGTGTGTTGTTTGCGATTGAGATTGAGTATTTTGGGTCGGGCAGACTACTCGTAGCCCATATTAGCTAGCCCTAATGGGTAGCAGGCTTTTTTGGGCTAGGCTAAAAAGCCCTGAGAAATTATAGGCTTAAATTTAAAGGCCCCCTATGTTTTATTGAGTTTGGCGAACCGACCCATATGGGCTAGCCCATTTTTTTAACTCTACATCTCTCATTTTATTTTTGTAGTATTTTAGGATAATGTGTTGCACTTTAAACATATCTAGGATTATATTCCTCGATTTTGACCTTAAAAACTATGATTAAAGTGATGCCTTCCACTCTTACCATGAAATCGCAACTCCCTAAAATAATTTGACGTCCAAGTTGACATATATTTGGAAAAGTTGAATGAGATAGATAAGGAGGAAAAGAGGCATATAGGTTGATCTATTGCTCTGGAATATTCGTTTCTTTTGTTTTCATTTTCAGCATGCTTTGTTCCTTCTCTCGTTAATAGTTCCTTCCTGTTGTAGTCCTTGATATTTCATGATATGTGAATAGGTTTGTTAGTATTCAAATAAAGATTCAGAGTAGTTTTGAAGTTCCATGTAGTTTCACAAGTTTGTTAACATACATTTAGCTTTTTTTGTTACGGTACAATTCTTCACATATGTATAAAGCAAAGAATCCTTCCAATAGTTGTATTCTTATTTCATTCATGAGGAGGAAATAACTTGCGTTCAACTACTAATGAAAACTTGTATTTAAAGTAGCACTGATTCTACTACTCTGGTTCGACATCTTCATACAATAAACCTTGAATTTAAAAAAAAGAAGCATAAATATGCTTAAATCTGATTCCTAACTTGGCTTGTAAGTTGTAACTATAAGATGCAAATAAAAAAAGTCAACAAAAGATGTGTTAGCTGTAGCAATTTTTTATGGTCTTGATGATCCTGTGGCGTCTGAGACTAAACTTATGTACTTTTTACAGGCTGATCAGTCAGGAACTATAGTTGAAATTGTCGCGAAAGATGCCCAGCCAGTAAGCGTTGGTTCTGTAAGTATATTCCGAACCCTCATGACTAGTAGTAACTCACAAGCAAAACTAGTGACTTTTTGTCATTAGAGGTTTGATTTATTTTGTTCCCTTGCAGCCCCTATTTGTGATTGAACCGTAGAGCAGGCAAAGTATTCGAGTAGGCGGACGACAATCTGCAGGTTTGTGTTAGTTGAAAAGTGTGAGGCTTATCCCATCCCCAAATAGAGGAAGTGTAGGAAGATTTTGTTTTGAATTGGGATGGTACACCTATGAGAAGAATTACTAGCTTATAATGAGTTTGTTCCCACCCCTCTTATTTTTCACTTCTAGATGATTGGACTGAGTTTTGGTTAACTTTTCTTGTTGTTTTCAATTTTCAGTTAAGTTAATGTGTGTGATATTTATTCCAAGTCTTCTGTTTTTCGATCCTAAAATTTTTGTGTGTTTCTTTTTCCACCTATTATTTTTCGAGTACGGGTTCCCTTTAACTGCGATGTATATCCATGCATTCACGCAGTTAGTTCACGAAATGTGCATGTTTGGTTTCTTGTGTTTTAGAATGATGTTCCTTCTTTTGCATGTTCTTAGCATCTCTTTTTTAAAACAACAAAGAAGGGAAGAGGAAAGAATATATTAGTGGTATATATATATATATATATTTTGAAACCTTAGTATTTGATACGACTAATTCAAAAGGATCAATCCCACCGTTGAATAGGTCCATTTAAAGTCAGAGCAAAATATTAATTTATACCTTCAGTTCTTATAAGTAATACTACTAATATGTAATCCTTTTAATTTTGTAAAAAATTTCAATTGATCAAAATTTGAAAAATGATTTTTTATTTTGTTTTATGAAATGAGATGTTTTCGATAACTTGTGGAAAAAAATGTTTTAATGAGGAAAAAGATATATTTTTTAAAAAAGTAACTTTTACTGTTATAAATCATTGCAAATTTTCTCTTCACATAAGAATCTCTAAATTTTTTAAGATTGTTTTATTTAAATATTTCTTTATTATTTATTTTATATGAAATAGAAGGCCAAACACCCTAAACTGGCCTAGGTCTGAAGCTAAGAATCTCTATTTGATAACCTTAAATTTGCTGATTCTAGTTTCCGTTGTGTTATAGGATTTCAATCGAGCAAATTGAACTTCTATCATATGGGTTACCTTGATTCTCGAACACTACCTTAAGTATATTTTAAGAATTTTTTAATGCATCATAAATTTTTCTTTTGTTTCACGGGAATTTCTACAAATATCTTTTATTTTTGAAAATAAATATTCAAACGCATCTCTTATACATTTAAGTAAGACCATTCTAAAAGGTGTTCTATATGTTGGATCATTTTTATTTTAGAGATGCATCTCTGAATTATTTTAAAAACGACCTTAATTATTTACTAGTTTAGTAGATATTCTAGAGATGCATTTTTGAAATTATGGGCGACATTTTGAAATTTTACGTCACCTTTGTATGTCAAATAAATCAATGCAAATCTTCGAAAATATCTGATATTGAAACCAGTTGCATGATCACACCATTGTTGACATACTTGATTTTCAACCAAACCCTTCACCCTAAAAACCATTTATTCTCAATCCATTTTTTTACTCCAAATCTCCATCCTTTTGGTTCATCACATCATAGGGAGCAAAAGAAGATAGAATTTCAGGTAAAGATTATCATTTTCCCTCTGCATTGCTCACATTAATCTTTCCTTTTTTCTGAAAAAAGTTACGTCGTGTCCGAAAATGTATCTCCAGAACGTATATGAACTTGTCCGGAGATGCATTTCTGAAAGTTGTATGTGTTCATTTTTGAAGTCCTTCTGCAACAATAGTAGTGCTTATGTTCTGTTATTGCTTTAATTGTTTTCATTAGATATGGTGCACCCTAATGTTTTTTCAAAACAAGTTGTTTCTCCAAATGTTCAAGGGTTGGTTGTTTCTCTGAATGTTCAATGTGTTGTTGTGAAGGCGGTAGGTGTTGCCAATGACTTTAAAAATAAACAAGAGTTTGAATCTCGTGATCAAATACTTTAGTGGATTCGTATGAAGGCCTTTAAACTTGAATTTGATGTGGTTATCGGAAGGTCTAATAATGGCTCAAATAGAAGATGCACATTTGTGACAAGAACATGTGAAAGTAGCAGGAAATATCGAACTCCTCTCCGAAATTTTAAAAGAGTTGACACCGGTACAAGAAAAAATGAGTGTCCGTTTAAGGTTCGTGATTGCATGTTGGCAAACAAAAATTAGAGATTTAATGTGATATGTGGTTTGCATAACCATAAGTGTGTTTAAAACTAGCCGGTTATCATACTATCTGTCGACTCAAGTCGAAAGAGAAGGAATGTGTTGCTGACATGACCTTGAATCTTGTTCAACCAAAAAATATACTTGCAACATTGAAACAGAAATGACCCGACAATATATCAAATATCAAACAAGTGTATAATATTCACCTCATTAACAAGGCACTTAGGGAGGGTAAAACTGAGATGCAACAACTCTTGAAACTGTTGGATGATAACAATTACGTGTCTAGGTATCGAACGTGCGATGATGGAGTTACTGTTCAACACGTTTCCTACGGAGCTCATACTTGATTCAACCTACAAGACCAACAAGTATAGATTTCCATTATTTGAGATGATTGGTGTTACCTAAATTGAGAAGACATATTCTGTTGGTTTTGCATTTCTTGAGTGTGAAAAAATGACAATTTTACTTGGGCATTAGTGGTGTGTCGGTCACTGTTGAAGGTCCAAGGTGAGATGCCTAAAATGATTGTTACCGATCGTGATACCACATTGATGAATTCGGTTGAAAAGGTATTTCCTTCTTCTTATGCATTACTTTGTAGATATCACATAACAAAGAATGTGAGAAGTAGGATTAAACCTGCGGTAGGGACAAAACAAATAGAGTTCGAAGATGGAAAAATGGTGAAGGCGGGTGTGTCAGAACTGCGAAAAACACCCGGCGGAAAATAGAAGAGTCGCCACCTTTCATTATTTATCCCAAAGAGAGGGAAAGAAAACGATCGGAAAAACCTAACAAAAAAGATAACTCTTCTGTTTTCCGCCGTGTGTTTTTCGCAGTTGTGACAGCTGGGGACTCTGCTAGGGACCTCTGGTTCCCTATGCGAGTCAATCCTAGCGTTTGTCTATTGCGTATTTGGGTGTTTATTTTTTGTACATATCTGTTGTATATTGTTGCATTTGCATTTTATTATCATATTATGCTGCTGCTGTGCTGTGGGTTGGGCTGTTCCATTGAGAGATAAGCCGAACCTGGGCTTGAGTATACACACAGGATTAGTGCGGAGAGTAGCGGGAGCTTGTGTGGAGTTTGGCCACGCAATAGCTCGTGCGAAATTCACGTTCAGACGAGGTTTTTCTTTGGAAATATTCTATCCTGTGCGCCTAGTGCAGTTGAGGGAATATTGACTTAGAGAGACTGTCGACTCTGGAGAGCGTTCATTTGGGAAGTCAGCTAAGTGAGGTCGCTTCGTTAGACTATGATGCCAAACCAGAAATGGTGAATGTATCATTATTTCTCGAAAGTCTGTGACGTTGACAGCCCACATAGGATGCCATACCTTTCAAGACTAGAACCCACATGTGAGAGGGGATGGGTTTTGCAGGAAACCTGGCCTTCAACCAACCCTGATTTTCTTGTCAGTGCAGACTTTTGATCCTGAGTACTCCGGTTTTCTGTTATCTTAGTGTTCTGATTAGAGTGGAGCTCTGGTTGAGTTCAGTCAACAACACAACAGTATTTGAGCATTGGATACCTTTATCCCATGTTTGCATCTGCATAATCATCCTGTATTTAACATAGCATGTTTGTGTGTGTTACATGTTCTTGTCTTTCCCTTGATTCTGGTACTGGTCTTCTATAGAGATGGAAGCAAGCACAAAGAGGATTGTTGTGTACAAGTTTCCTGCGCCTGAGTTAGGACCTTTATTTGGTCTAGTCTCCCTGGCTAATCCTGGTGTTCTGGCAATCTTCAGGGAAGATTATGGAAGTATTCTGAATCTTGTCCGTAAGATCACAAGCTATGAGTATGGAGCTATTCATACGCTGCTACAGTTTTATGATCCGCCACTGCGCTGTTTCACATTCCCAGATTATGTGTTGGCTCCTACTTTGGAAGAGTTCGCCTTCATCTTAGGTGTTTCGATCCTAAATAAGGTGCCATTCTTCAGCTCCAAGGAAGAACCTAATCTTGAGAGGTTATCCGCCGCTCTTTATTTGAGCACCTCCGACTTGGTAGACCATGTTATCAGCAGAAACGGAGTTTCCGGCTTTACTTTATCTTTCTTAGTGGACAAAGCCCGAGAGTATGCTGGAAAAGGTTGTTGGGTGGTTTTCAGCGCTATCTTGGCTCTGTGTGTCTATGGCATTATGTTATTTCCTAATGTACCGGACTTTGTGGATTTCGATGCATTTCATATCTTCGCTTCTAGAAACCCCGTACCTACTCTTATAGGAGACTTGTATCATTCAATGTATTACAAGAACGAGAAAAGAAGAGGAAAAATGGTTTCTTGTTGCGCACCGATGTTGCATAAATGATTTGTTGATCACCTTCCTCGCTCTGGAGCTTTTGTGGATTTGAGGAACTCATCTGAATGGTCAAAGAGGCTTATGGGTTTAACGGAGAAGAATATCGTCTGGTTCAACTGAGACTTGTTGGATCGTGAGCTTATCTTTAGTTGTGGTAGCTTTCCTAATGTGCCCTTGATAGGGAGGAAAGACGACATCGATTATAATCCTTCTCTTGCTGTGAGACAATTCGGTTATGCTTTGAAAGGACCTCCGGAAGAAGAGGAAGTGCAAGAATCTCTGTACTTCACAGGTGTAGCTGATCCTTGTATCTCAGCCCATTCGTGGACGCTTGGGGTAAGATTCACAAGAAGAGAAAGCTTTCTTTAGGCAAAGGAGATTGTAAAGCCTATGATCCCTACTCGGATTGGATTCAGAAAAGGGTTGAAGAGGTACTATTGTTGTTTCCTGTTGAAGAACCACTGTATCCCTTAGTCATTGAGCCGCCTACAACCGTCGATATCCTGAGATATACCAAGCTTTGGGCAGAGAAGGAAGAGCTGCGCAAAGAGAATGA